AAAAAAAAAAAAACCACCAGCCACATCATTGCCGCCTGAACCAGACTATCACCGTGTCAAACACTACAAACGCCACCACATCACCGTCAGGCACATAGAAGCCACCACATCACCGTGTCAAAACACCACAAGCGCCACCACGTCACCATCGTCGACCGCTACCACTACCATAAACACCTCACCAGTCACTAGCACCTCCAACCAAAAAATCAGAAAACTGCAGATCGAACAGAGAGAGATAAATGCAGATCAAACGCCTCCCCTACGTCGAAAAGAGAAAAGAATCATTCGGAAAGAGAAAAGAACAGTTCGGAAACCATTGCCTTCAGATCGGAAAGAGAAGAACAATTTCATGTCGCAACGTTGTGTTCCCAGCACGTCGCCTCCCATGCCGGCACCGGCACCACCCCATGCCATCGCCCTTCCTTCGTCACTGGTTGCAGTGTTTAATCCCCACGCCGACGTCGAGCACAAAGAGAAAGGGGATGGGAAAGTGTCTTGTAATGGGAGGGGTGAAATTTCAAATAGGGTTTGAATTGTGAATTAGGGGATTTAAATCTATTAATACCTGATTTGTGAACAATCAAACATTGTACCTGATATTTGAACTGTGATCTTTAAAGATCTGAATTTCTGTAATTTTCACTAATTATATTCCCATCACATCTATTTCATAAATTTATTATCATATCTATCTTACTAACTTTTTTCACCACATTCTTATTTTTAACCTTTTAACAACGAATAAATCTTGTCCTTATCACATTTTCCGTCTAAAATTATTGTTAACACGCTTCAAATCAAAGGACCATTTATAGTTTAAATTTTGTATGTTCTTTTTATTTAAAAACACAAAGGACAAATAATTTTTTACTCAATGAAATTTTTAGACCCAAACCGTATCACGAACAACTTGTATTAATTATAGAGTGAGATTTTGATTAAAATAATTAAGAATATAAATATAATAATGAGTAAAAATTACATAAAACCAAAATGTGGTGCGTGTTGTGAATGAATTTAGCTGCAAGCAATCTCATTGACTATTTACAATATTGTCCAAGTCACATTACGAAACATATCATATGAGATACGATCAAATAGCAAGTACTCGTTTGGCCCCATTAAATTAAATTTTATTTTTCTCTCTTATTTTCAACCACACAATCTTCCACAAAATAATATTACACGTAAACCAAAAACTTCTCATTCTTTTTAAACACCATGTTCTCCCAAAAAATACTATTCCACCCATTAAAATCTGAAATCATGGGGAACAAACGGGTAAATGATCAAATTTTATATTCTTCATCAATAGTATGCAGTACTAATCCAAACATGCATTGTATCGAATGAGATCAAATGGTACAATGAACAAAAAGATTTAGCTTATTTTTATATCATTACACTCGATCTATGTTACCAAACATATCATAAAGTCGGAGGTATTTTGACCATTAAGAGGGAATATCAGCTTGTAAGCCATGGTATTCACTTGGATTACTATCTAAGAACACGTTTTTTCACTATTTTTTCAAATGAAGAACGAGTCTGTAAAAGCCCGAGCATCAAAAATTTGTATTCCTCACAGAGAAAAGAGTCCTCATTTTGATGAACTTCATCAAACAATGAGACAACAAAAACACAGCTATACATGTCTAGTAACAAGTTCCTAATTTGGTAACCGAACATTTGCAGAACTTCTTTACCTGCATTGAAGGTGAGCTGGTTCTTCCTACTCTACGTCTCGCTTTGAGCAGCCACTTACAATTTAGAATCTCGAGTTACTGTTGCGGCCATCCATACTGCTGGTTCCGGTTACTGCCCACAGGATTCGGGCCACGGCCACCAGCTCCATATTGACCACTCGGTCGAAATCAAAGGCGCATATATTGTAATAAATTACAATCATTGTATTCTTTTTATATGCTGAAAGTTTTATGTGAAAGTAATATAACACTGAGTCATTCATCTGGAAAGGATCATGTATGTGTGATTAACTAATTATATGCTGTTGAAAATAAATTCTTAATTTCAGATGTTACTTTCTTGTTTCAGATCCCTGTTACGATGAATGCTGTTGGAGGGATTCTTGTTGGTCTCGTGACATCGTATGCGGGTGGTGTCCGAAAGGTAAGTCTTACCATCACAAGGTTGTATAGAATTTTGTGGCAAATAATTACCCAGTTTAAAAGATCAGGAGACCAACGGGCTTTAACTTGCTGTATGCATGTCATATATCAATTGCTAAAAAGTTAAATTCATGAATATTTTTTTTTAAGGAGCTCCATTTGTAACACACACTTGGAAGGCGTGGAGATTTATGGCTAGAGAACCATCACAAGATACTCTGCATAAAATACGGAACTCCGAAGTGAGTTAGATACTTGGGGCATGTTTGGTGGTACAGCGGAGTGGACAGCTTTGGAAAGTATTAAGAAAGAAAAAAGAGCTGAAATCTTTTCAATTCTGCCTAATACTACTTTATTAGACGCACTCACGGATTAGGCTTTGTTGGTGTTCAGACTAGAGTGATTATATTTGTGCCTTTCCAACTTAAGTAATGCTATTCATAGTCAACGATTGTTAAATAGTTATCTTATTTAGTAAATTGTTAGTTGAGGCATTACTTTTATGGAATTATGTTGCTTTAAATAATAAACTAATGCCTCAAATAACAAATTGTCACAAACGATGACTATGAATGGCATTACTTCTCCAACTTATCTATGAAATAACGCATTGTATGAACAATGATGTGGCCATGTCGGCGTGTTACCATGATTTTTTGCACTCTATAATGATTTTCCCTTATATGTTTTCCTTCTATATTCATGCAGGGATTTGTCATTGTGTCTGCTCTACTTGTTACTGCTTTGCTACAGTTCGTCTTTGACGGGAAACCACCTTCTCCATACTGTCTTCTGGCGTTTCCGCTCGTGATCACTAGCATATCAATATACCAAAAATATCCATATCGTCTTAAAAAGAAAGACTAGTGAATCAAGAAACGTATACAATTGGAAGAGGTACTAAGTTGGCCTATTTTTTGTGCATCCAAACATGCAAGTGATTACTAAACATCATTCATTATACACTTTATGAATATCAGTAGGCTGAGGAGAGATTTTGTAAATTTTACAGAAGTTTTGCATTTTTTTCATCGAATTCATCCACGTGGACTGTGATCGCTTTTTTCTTCCAAAACTTTGGAAAATACTTGTTGTATATCACTATTTACATAATTTTTTTACAAATTGATGAAGTGTCAAAAAAAAGTGGAGGAATTATTTTTATTTGGTTGATGAGATTTTGACCCAATCAAATTTTGCTACATCATCGATTAGTAAATAAATTTGTAAGTTATAATGTTACATAGAGTGAAAAACACATGAAAATAAATGTTTTGTGCTAGGAAGCATCAATTGGAACTGCAAAATGTAGTTTCAAACTTTCAGTTTATGTACATTGATGACATACGTACACAACGCAGAATCATCGCAGGAAAAAAAAAAAAAAAAACAAAAAAAAGATTAATCTGATGTTTGTAACGAGGTTCAAAGGATGGTCTACTGTGGTTCTGTTTAGACTGCTCAAAGTTATGTAAAGACGACGTCAACTTGATCTGATTGTTCCACAAAACATCTCAAGAAGATGGAAGGGAAAATAGAAATATCAAATCTTACCAGTCCCAGATACATCACCAGTTAGCCTCATTCTTAGTGTCAGATATATTAATATCACTGTTCCCACACTTGATCTGTGAAGAAAAGATGAGTTAGTGAGTGCTAAGTGAAAGAAATAACAATTAGCATCCCTATCCAAAGAAAAAGTTTAAAGGCATGACAACAAATGAAGATAACAAGCTAAACATTGTTCTCACTAAATTTGAACTTAAAACTCTCTTTCAATCGTCCTGTGTAAGGGAACTTGATCTTTAACAAATACAAGCCATATAATTTTGGTTGATCGCTCCTAACCCATTTCTGGAATCACTTATGAGCGAAAGCCTCTTTAAATCTCTGTTAAATATGTTCTAACGTCCATTCTGACTCTCTCTCACACACATGAATGGAGGGAGACCGTGTTTTGCTGTAAAATGAGCAAATAAGAATCTTCAAATATTCAGTTCGAAACGTACAGGAAAACGTTCTTTGGATTTGCCCAAGATTTTTGGAATTCATTTATTTCTCTCAGGAGTGGCTTGCTCTAGTTTTGGTGCGTTTCATGTAATAGGTTTGTATGGTCCCAAAAATATGGATGCCGATCCTTGTGGACTATCGGGGAAATACAAGTATGCACCTTAGTAACTCAGTTCATTCATCACACACTCCTTCAAAATCAAACAACTGGCAAAGTAGAGTTCTAGAAGGAGGTTGTATAATATATAAAATATGCACTTACAAGGCTGAGAAAAGGAGAAGCACTCTTCTTGAATTGAGTGAGACCAAACGTTTGTACTTCCTTGATCCGTTAGTTGTAGGTTTGTCATGTACTCTCTCAGGTCTATGGTTCATCAAGGGTTGCACAAATTTTCCTCTAACCCATAAGGTAAATTCAGTCAGCAATTCCCTCTGCAAAGCAGTTCACTGTCATTTGAAATTGTAAACAACGGCAGAATTTGGAAAAGGAAAAAAACGACAGCGTCAAGAAATTACTGCTAAAGAATCATCATGTTTCAAATTCACAACAGATTTCCCTGATTCTGGCATTCCTTTCTCAATATCAACATTCAAAACAAATGAGGCAGAGCAGTTAGCCTTATCCATCTCTAGATTGTTGTAATTTAGTAAATTTGATTCACCATTTGAGCAAATCTCAGTTTTCATCATATTAGAAACTTCAGCACAGTTCAGAAGTTCTAGTTGTGCTTCACACTGTGTGTTGACGGTGGCTTCTTTAGGCCACATCACTGCACAATGGACCTGTTGACACTGCCGAAAGAAGAAATCACCGTATTATCACAATTTGCTCTCAGCAAAATTGAACAGTAGAAGACGGGAGAATATTTTGAGTTAACAAATTTCATGATGATCACATTAATCAAATCTCCATCATAGACCACAAGAAAATAGTGATTTAACTTATCAGTCAAACAGACCACAAGAAACTAGTGATTTAACCTATCAGTCAAATGATAAGTGTCAAAAAGCTTGCATCAAATGAAATTCTGTGAAGTGTTACCAAATCCTCATCATTCACAAGCAAAACTAAAGTAAATGAACGTAATGAATTCCTATCACCGTGCTTATATGATTGATTCTTACATCACTTAAGATATTCAATCGTGTAACAGACACCTCGCTACATAGAAGTAAACATGTGCAGACCATCTAATGCAATGAGGAAAGGTCCATTATATAGCTAACAGTAAGGTTGAGAGGTACCCTTTGAGCATTATAAGGGTTCGTTTTATCACAACTTATCCGAAAATTATTTTTCCTCAAACTCATTTTCAACCATACATTTTTTCAATAAAATAATTTTGGGCATCAACGCATAACTTTTTCTTTACTTTTTAACCAAATATTCTCAAAAAAAAATATCATTTTTCACTTCATATAATATCTCCCAAACGAATGTAAATGTCTAAATTAAATGACATAGGGAAATTCACATTAATTGTAATTTGGTAATATTGCAGAAGGACAATACAATTGTTATCAAGCACAAAATCTACAGTAAGGACGAAATTAGAAATTTGGATTCATTTAGTGTGACAATGATATATAAACCACACACATCCATAGAAGGGTAACAAGTAGCTTTACCACCAAAAAAATAAGTAACTTTTTTCCCCTGCTTGTGAGTAACGATAAATGACATACTCCAAATATCTTTAGAAACAAAAGTTACTTAAAAGTAAATTTTGGAAAACATGTTCTTGCTCCCATTTTCAAATAAACTTTTTGACGAAAAATTCTTTATAGTATACGAACACTTTGTTTAAGAAGTTAATGTAATCTTGGGAAACGTATAATAGAGAAAAATATGAAAGAATTAGAAATTCCCCAAAATTAAACAGATTCTACAACAAATTTTCTAATAAAAAACAGCTTTGAAGCTGTTCCAGGCAATCGTTTTCTGAAATTCAATAATTGAATCACTAAAATAGACTTAAAAAATAGTAAAACTCTGTGTGTGTGTGTGAAATAAGAAGATTACACGGCACAATGGGAAGGAGAGCTCAATCACTGATTTTCTGAATTCTTTTCTTTTTCCCTTAGATGGTCTTTAAAATTTCATTTCTATGTTTATCCAATGTTTTTATACTCTCTTAAATCTCATTAACCACATAATGGTTAATAATCAAATATTGAAATCGTGTAACAAATTTCATGATGATCACATTAATCAAATCTCCATCATAGACCACAAGAAAAGAGTGATTTAACTTATCTGTCGAATGATAAGTGTCAAAAACTTGCATCAAATGAAATTCTGTAAAATGGTACCAAATCCTCATCATTCACAAGCAAAACTAAAGCGAACGAACGTAATGAATTCCTATCACTGTGCTTATATGATTGATTCTTACATCAATTAGGCTATTCAATCGAGTAATAGACGCCTAGCCACACAGAAGTAAACATGTGCAGACCATCTAATGCAATAAGGAAAGGTCCATTATATAGCTAACAGTAAGGCTGAGGGGCACCCTTTGAGCATTATAAGTGTTCGTTTTATCACAACTTATCCGAAAATTATTTTTCCTTAAACTCATTTTCAACCATACATTTTTCCAATAAAATAATTTTGGGCGTCAACAAATAACTTTTTCTTTACTTTTTAACCAAACACTCTCAAAAAAATATCATTTTTCACTTCATATAATATCTCCCAAACGAACTAAATGTCTAAATTACATGCCATAGGGAATAATTGAAATTCACATTAATTGTAATTTGGTAATATTGCAGAAGGACAATACAATTGTTATCAAGCACAAAATCTACAGTAAGGGCGAAATTAGAAATTTGGATTCATTGTGTGACAATGATATATAAACCACACACATCCATAGAAGGGTAACATGTAGCTTTACCACCAAAAAAATAAGTAACTTTTTTTTTCTCCCGCTTATGAGTAAGAAAAAATGACATGCTCCAAATATCTTTAGAAACAAAAGTTACTTAAAAGTAAATTTCGGAAAACATGTTCTCGCTCCCATTTTCAAGTAAACTTCGTAACGAAAAATTCTTTATAGTATAAAAACACTTTGTTTAAGAAGTTAATGTAATCTTGGGCAAGGTATAATAGAGAAAAATATAAAAGAATTAGAAATTCCCCAAAATTAAACACATTCTACAACAAATTTTCTACGAAACAAACAGCTTTGAAGCTGTTCCAGGCAATCGTTTTCTGAAATTCAATAATTGAATCACTAAAATAGACTTAAAAAATAGTAAATTTACCATTTTAAAGGAAAAATTGCAGCTCTCAAATGTAGACAACGACGGAAATGAATTGTACCCAAAAAAATAAAAAATAAAAAATAAAAAATAATAATAATCCTACCTGTTCACTGGCATTAACCACCATTGCAGTCACATTCAAAGCTCTATTACGTCAAATCCCTCTGTGCATAGTTACAACTCCCTCCCTCCCTCCCTCCCTCTCTCTCTCTCTCTCTCTCTCTCTCTCTGTGTATGTGTGTGAAATAAGGAGATTACACAGCACAATGGGAAGGAGAGCTCGATCACTGATTTTCTGTATTTTTTTTTCCTTTTTCCCTCAGATGGTTTTTTAAATTTCATTTCTATGTTAATGTTTTTATACTTTCTTAAGTCTCATTAACCAATGATTAATAATCAAATATTGAAATCGCACCCATGATATTGATTGCGACATATAGAAATATAAGATTGACCGATTACCCGGAATATTTTTTCGTATTCTTATTTTAGGAAAGGGAATCTCGACGACTTAACCTCTGAACCGTTTGATCAACTTCCTAGTTGAACTGACTACTAATTGAATTTATCTTGATTTTTGTAAACACAAAATATTGTGTTAAAGCGACATAGTTAAATATTTAGGGTTAACAACTAAATTTTTCTTATAATCAATGAAAATGGGAAAAATAAGGATCTGTTCGGTAGTGATTATGAAAATTGATGTTTTTTTTATCGTTAGAGAGAAAAGTGAGTCTCATTTGTGAGTGAAAAAATCAGGAATAATGACTAGAATAATGAAATAACAGTAAAAAAAATTTGATTTCTTGAATTGAAAGATTAAAACCAGACTAGGGCTAAGATTGGATTCCCGGCCCGAATTTTTGCATCAAAACATACACAAGGTAGAAAATAAAAATAAAAATAATTAATTAATCGATTCCAAAGTGCATATCAAAGTTGAGTGGCCCACCCATCGGAAATGTGTGAAGTATGAGGACATACTCCACTCGTAGAATGATTATAATTCTTGATACGTGTGCGACCGTTGAACAAGTTGTTGAGTAGAAAGAAATGTAATTCTTATCTAACGATATTTTGTGACGTTTACATTTAAAATGAACAAGTGAATAACCCATGAAATATTTAGGATTTAAATTTTGAACCCCTCTGCATAATGTAGAGATTGGTTCTTAATTGCCCTCAGGGCACATCTCCAAACAGTAAAAGAAGAGGGTGGAGAAATCCAGCTTTACTTGAGGCTGTCGCGTCAAGTGTTCGAATCTTGAAATATGGATTTGGCTCTTGTGTAAGTGCAAGTTTACAAGTAGCCTTCCACCCTATACCCTTGGAGGCATAACATGCGATTTACATCTCTCACGATGCTCCAAGGCACGACCGGTGGAAAATCTTTAAGATTGAGGTTCAACCTTTTTTTAGATAGGTTCTTAATTTATCAAGAAGAGTAAATTTATGTGCTTTTGTGTGTGTGTGTGTGTGTGTGTGTGTGTGTGTGTGAAGAGCATATTTTGACGAATACGACGAAAAATCATTGTCGGGACTTGGTAATAACATTGTGCCAGATTTGTCAACCAAAGGACGGTCACGGGCTGTTAACCAAAAAGACCTCCTTTTCAATAATTTGTTTAAGATTGAGGTTCAACCTTTTTTTAGATTGGTTCTTAATTTATCAAGAAGAGTAAATTTATGTGCTTTTGTGTGCGTGTGTGTGAAGAGCATATTTTGACGAATACGACGAAAAATCATTGTCGGGACTTGGTAATAACATTGTGCCAGATTTGTCAACCAAAGGACGGTCACGGGCTGTTAACCAAAAAGACCTCCTTTTCAATAATTTGAACGAACGAAATTTAAGGAGACTGAAATTGTTTTAACACGCAATTTACATATATAATTATGTTTTTAAAGTTGTTAAAATCTTGTTACTTTATGCATTCATAGTTCAAAAGTTACATAATTCTCGCAATTAAATGATTGGACTTAAACCCAATTGTTTTGCCTTACATTAAACTGTTGTTTGGTCTCAATTATTTAAAAAAATAATAATTATTATTATTTTTGATCATATTTCATGAGATTTATAATTTATTTACTTTACAAACTCACATTCTTTTATCAAAATTTACTAGCCTCCATTTGGTCCTCATTATTTGGTACTATAATTTTTGAAATAATGTTTTTTTGAAGAATATGTAGTTGAAAAATAAGGAAAAAAATTGGTCTATGTATAATATTATTTTGTAAAAAATTGTGTGATTGAAAATAAAAAAATAAAAAATTATAACATGAATAATAGGAGTCAAAAGAGGGCTAAAATTATATTTTTTAAGCTGGATCAAGTAGTTAAGTACCTTTACTTTATGGTAATAATCTTATGATAATTATATGGGAAAAATTCATAAACCTGGTGTATTGTTTACACCATTTTAAAAATCAGGTAAATAGTTTGAAATTTCAAAATTCAAGATTATATTTAATTAGTTAAAAATATTTATTAAGTAAAGATATTAAAGTCATAGTTACATAATTAATGGTCATTGATTTATAATTACAGGTCACAAATTTATTTACTGGTTACATATCATCAAATTAGTTGGTCACAGATTTTTTTGATGTCACAGATCAATTTTTTTTGAGGTCACATTATTTTATTGGTCACAGGTGAAAAAATTACAGGTCACAATTTATATATCGATCACATATTTTTAAATTTATTGGTCACAAATAATCTAATTTTAAAGTCACGGTTAAATAATTGGTCACGAATAACTAAACAACTGGCCACACATCAAATTGTCGGCCACCACCAACTCCAACGTTACCCCCACCACTTGCAACCACTCTCATCCTGTTGCCACCGCCACCAACAGCACCACTAACAAAAATCGTCGCCACCAGATCCACCTCCACCACCACTAGAAACCACCATGACTGCCACGACCAAATACACCAAAAAAAAAAAAAAAAAAAAAAAAAAACCCCG